TCCCGAACTGGAAAATATTGCATTTGTGATTCAATTACAGCGAATTTAACGGCAGCGAGACGAATCCATTGAAACATTAATATCAATACAGTGGCATTGATTTCAAGAAAAATAAGGAGGGGATGATTTATGCACTTGTACATTCATCATGCTGAGAGAAAGTTTAAATCAAGGCTCGATGGAGAAGTATATAAATCACTCACTGAAATAAATAACAAAAAAAAAAAAAAGAAAGTAAAAAAAAAAAAGGATTTATTAGGGTGATTTATGACGTCCCTCTTTTCATGCTTTTGTCCTAAAGGAAGCTCATAAGTTATATCCTCCAATATACCTCAGCCACTGGATTGCTTTTTCATCAACGGTTGTGATTCCATGCAGCTAGGCACAAGGCTTAATTATAGCTCAATTGTCTTCAAAGGGATTTTATAGACGAAAACACAGAGAGTTTCCTTTGATGAAAGCAATTTTGACTGCTAAAAAACAGTTCTTGTTTCAAGCCATCTTCTCTCTCGAGAAATTTCATGGAAGGTGGAAGTGCAGATTCTCTCTCGAGAAATTTCATGGAAGGTGGAAGTGAAGATTCTCTCTCGAGAATTTTAGGAAATAACCCTCAGTTGCTTCATCCAGGCCCTCCATTAAGTGCCATAGACAGGTTCTTATGGGGTCACAACACTTTCTCTTACCAACAAAACTTCAACCCTTTGGAAAATCAACCAGCTCTCAATGGGATTTCTCATTTTCCTTCTAATGAAGTAAATCAGTTTCACAATTTTTCTTCAAATGGCACAACAAGTAATTACACCACTGGAAAGCCAAGCTTCATTGAAGGACTTCAACATGAAAAACAAACTTCGGGTGAAAATCTTTCAGTAAATGTGATACCTGCACCGGTCAATCCTGATCGGAAGGAGAAGAGAGAGAATAGTTATTCGTCCGGATATCAGATAAAAGGCCAGTGGACAGACGAAGAAGATAGGTAATATATAAAAAAAGAACATTTTGGTTTCATTACATTTATGTTTAATTTATATTTACTTTTAATTTGATTTCTAGCAGGAGACTGATTAGCTTAGTACATCAATTTGGATTGAGGAAATGGGCTGTAATAGCTGAAGAAATGGTTGGTAGAGCGGGAAAACAATGTCGCGAGCGATGGAATAATCATCTGCGTCCTCATATCAAGGTTTTATTTTTTTGGTTCACTCTAAGTTCCAGTTTCTGTTGTTTTGATAGTCACTCAAATTTTACCACTTTGGCATAATTGTGAAGTGAACTGATTTCTCCTTTCTGGATCTTCAGATTCTTGCCTAAATTTGATTCATGGCTTTTTAACATTTTTTCCCTTTTCTGGGGGGCATGTCCAAACTACTCTAGTACTAAAATTCTCTAAAAATCATGTACTTTTTTTTTTTTTTTAGTATGTTTTCAAGATATAGTCTCTGGATCTATCGACCTAGGGTTTGTGTTTGCATTTTTTTGTTCTGTGAAAACGTTTAGGGCTTGGTTTACTAATCCCAACGTTGATGCGTAGAGGTTTCAACCTCAAGAGGCAGACTTTGTCTATATACATTTTTCACGTTTCCTTTTCCTAATTTGCCTCTGTGTTGATTTTCATGTGATTGCTAAAACTTTTAACCGACAAAGTATCATATTTTCCTAGAAAAGACTTCATCTTTAACATGGGAAAAAGTTTTTATTATTTGTTTTGTTTTTTATGGTTTATTTCAGAAGGACGTTTGGACTGAAGATGAAGAGAGACGATTAATTCAAGCACATGAAAGACTTGGAAATCGATGGGCGGAGATAGCTAAGTACATTCCTGGAAGAACTGAAAATTCAATAAAGAATCACTGGAATGCCACAAAAAGGAGGCAGATTTCAAGGAGAAATATAAAGAAATTAAAGGGAGATGGAAGACAGTCAACACTACTACAAGATTACATCATAAAAATGTATTTCAGTAATGGTTCCACCTCCACTAACTCAAATTCCGGCACCAACACCACTGCAGCAAATCTGTCCAACGCCGGCACACCACTGTCTGATGATGACGACTCTACACCATTTTTCAGTTTCGAATCATGCAATGACGAAATGGATTTCATGAAAACCCTGTTTGAAAATAATCAATCCATCGATTCAATTCCAGTCGATCATTGTCAACCAATGAATCCAACTGAAGGGACATCTAAGAATACTTATAGCTTCAACAGTGATGAAAATTATAATCATCCCACCATCTTCTTCACTTCCCCGGAGATTTTACAGACAACTGATTCTCAACTGCCTGCTGTAGAATATGTGGAAAATGACTTATTCCATTCTGCTCCAAACCCTATGGGGAATAAATTTTTCCCTTCTGATAATTCAGATTTAATCATGGAATTTAATTCTAACTTTCGAAGTGTGGAGACTGAAGCTTCACAGATTTATCCTGATGAGTTGTACTTTTCATATCAATGGGATGGAGGCAATGCTGGAAATGTAAATTCAACAACAAATCTGCCAACAATTGATCAAGGTACAACCTTTGGAAGCACAATGGAGACGGATTTGATGGATATGGTCTCATCTTCTCAGCTGCCTCCTCAATTAAGTCCATACAATGGCTTCTTCTAATCTAGTTAATAATTATTATCCTATAATTATTGTGTTTTAGCTTAGTTAAACCCTCTATAACATTTTCTGCACTTTTATTACTGTTATGGTTGTGGTTTTGTGAGTTCTTGTTAATCTTAGATGCTCCTCGACTTTTCATGATATCACCTTAGGCTTCACCCCTTTCTATTTTGCTAAAAATCGGTTTTTCTGGTAGATTTGTATGAAAGTTGATGAAATGTGTAGTTAAAAAGTTAATAAAAATTGTAAATCTCATAAAATGGTTGATTAAAAACTAATTATTGATTCTGACTTTAATTTAAGTTTTTATTAACATTTTTACAAAATCAAATAATGGCTTTGTATCTATTCATGTGTATGTGTCTTGTTGTTAAAGTTATATTGGTAACACTAAGGACGTTTTATAAATCATTCTCAATTATTAAGCGGTTAACAATATTTTGTCATCACTTAAATGTATCATTAGATTATAACATTAGTTATTCTGAGTTATTAAGAAGTTAACGGTATCATGTTGTCTGTTATTTCTATACCTATTAACGATGATAACCATTGCCATATCATTTACAATCAATTATCGTCATGCTATTCGTTTTTTTTCTTTTTATCATTGTTAACGATAATAACTATTGTCATATTATTCACATTAATCAGATGTCATGACAAAATACACCGTACCAACTATAGAAAATTAAAATTTTCAAGCTAAATGGAAGGAGTAAATGATTCTTATATATATGGTGTCATTAATGTTTGTAATTACCAAATCGACGTTAGGCAAATGCTCATATCATATTGCTTTTGGAATTCTAATGTGTATTATTTTACTTTAGAAATAATGTTTATTATTTTAGACAAGATCAAAGACATTTACCGAACTAAGTTTAAAAATTACATTTATCTCGTCAAAAAATAATTATTAACTACAATTACAAATGTGTATTACGTATATCTTACCATTGAACCTAAATTGTTTTTACCATTTCTATAACACTTCTGATAATTCAGATTTAATCATGGAATTTAATTCTAACTTTCGAAGTGTGGAGACTGAAGCTTCACAGATTTATCCTGATGAGTTGTACTTTTCATATCAATGGGATGGAGGCAATGCTGGAAATGTAAATTCAACAACAAATCTGCCAACAATTGATCAAGGTACAACCTTTGGAAGCACAATGGAGACGGATTTGATGGATATGGTCTCATCTTCTCAGCTGCCTCCTCAATTAAGTCCATACAATGGCTTCTTCTAATCTAGTTAATAATTTTTTTTTCTTTCTTTCTTTTATTGTTGTAGCTTGAATTTCTCCAATGTTAACATATATCTTGTTACTTTCTAATTTTTCTTTTTTGATCCAGTTCTATCTTTTGTTCTCAACAATAATTTAGGTATTAATAATTTATATTTAACTTATTTATGACACTTTCCATTTTACGAGGCCAAATTAAATGAATAGTGTGTGGGATGAATTTTTGAAACCTTATCTCGAGTGAAAGAAGGCTTTATAGCTTGTACATCTTCTACTAACGGTAACTAGTTAGCCTGCATCGATATGTTCGTACTATATTGAAGAATGATTAAAAAAAATAAAAGATTATCAAAGACATTCACTCTGCTAACTTACAATATCGAAAACATACTTCGCGTTTAAAAAAATCAGTAAATCAAATCTCGTCTACTTCAACTTATGGATATCTTATCCCTCATTGAGAGTATCTTTCTTTTAACTTCTTCAATATCTTAAAGATATTAAAAGGCAATAAAGTAAGTGGGGAAAAAAATGCAATGGAATTGGGGAATATCATTGAAAGACGAAAGCAATTAATTAATTACGAAAGATGGGAAGGACGGGGCTAGGGTTTTGGGAACACTCACAATAATAATCTAAGCAAGGTCAACATGGCCATATGGGTTCGACGTGAATGTTTGTTGCTGGACATTAATTTATGTGGGGACATCGAATATTCGTACATATGTAAGTCACTATATGTAATATGGTTTTTTTATTTTTTCGGTTGCATCTGATGTTATGAACACCCTCAATATTGAAGAAGTTGTAGAAATATTTTTACTTGATGATGACACTTGTTCATTGTTGCTTTTTTCTTTTAACGGCGAATAAATTAAAAAGTATTTTAAAAAATAAAAGAGGTTGGACAATAATGTGAGAAATATTTTAGCTGTTGGCCATTATTTGTTTAAAACAATATTTTAAATAGTAAATTTTTGGAGAATATATGATTAAAAAGTGGGAAAAGTTTTTAATTTATATCTAAAATATTTTAGTATGTTAAAACCAACAACGAGTTTTGTTTTAGAAATAGAGAAGCTATTCACAGAAAAGATTACCGTCATAAAAATGTCACAGCATTTGAGAAGATGAACGACACATTGATTGCACAAGCCTATCTTAGTGGCGAAAATCATAGGTACAATGATAAAAAAGAAAAAAAAAATGTAGAATGCCATTATTTCTCCTCAACCTAAAATCAGATGTGACCAATTTACACAACGGATTAAATAGTAACATTGTTAAAGAGTCAAGAAACGTCGAAAAAAAAAATATTGATAAAACAAATCAAAGTATCCCACTTTTGTACGTCACCTCTTAGGTTGATTCAAGTGATGAGATCTCAAGTTCAGCCCACCAAAGAGGAGATAATTTAGGTATAACTTCATCATGTGCCAATCCCGTGATATCTTTCAACTTAGATGTAACATCTCTCATCGTTGGTCTCTGTGTAGGTTCGGGAAGAACACATTCTTTTGCAACCAGAAGCAATTTTTCTAGCTCTTGTTCTTTGAAAGATTTTAGAGTTGGATCCACCACTTCTCTCAGTGGCCTCTCTTGCCTCGAGTGGTCCAATATCCAGTCCACAACAAGACCATTACCCACTGAATATGGAAGTCTACCAGTGATTATTTCAAACAGTATTAGCCCGAAGCTGTAAACATTGCTCTCTGGGTCGACCAAGGGAGTCTCCAAGAGCTGGGTGTTTCCTGGTCCCATTTTTGTTGCTGTTACTTCATTCCAGAAGCCGAAGTCCGAAATTTTGGCTGCATAGTCTTCTGTTAGATATACGGACGAGGATTGCAGATTTTTAAGTGTCATAGGCGGTGAGAGATGGTGCATGTACTCAAGGCAATATCCTATGCCCATGGCTATGCGCAGCCGTGTTGCCCAGTCCAAGTGCTCCGATTCTTTAACTACAAAAATCCAGAGTCAAAAGGTAACTAAAGTTAATGCAGATCCAGTTTCAGCCATTACATAGATATTATTTTGTTAGAGTATAAATACTACCATATGCCATTACAGAGGAATGTTTAGAGATTCAACCATTAGCAAATGACCTGAATATTCTTCTCATTTAGACCATGAAATACTCTAGAAGACTAATCAATTATACGTGTTATGACATTTTATTGTTTTATCTTCAAACTCTTAATCAGATTGCCCTCCGGGTCTCATGTAGTTGCCCATATGTCATGTTATCTACAGGAAAGTTTCGAAGGTTTTGTGGAAATAGAAAACTTACAATATTGTTTCTTATATGTTCATATTTCTCATTTCAAGGATTTCTTTTACGCATAACTAAACCGAACTAGTTTCGAAATAATTAGACCCACTCGACACTTGTGCAGGGTTCTTTCAGGAAAATTTTGGTAACTTTAGCAAGATAAGGAATCATATTTATGTCATTAAGGGCAATTTTGTTTTTTTAACGAGTCGAATAAGTCAGCTAACAGAATATATAATCATCATCCATTATCGAGCCAAGATCAGCTGTCCCTCAAAACATTTTTGAAATCTCGGCATATCACTTCTTCTTAGCAAATAATGTGCCGGGGCATGAAAACATGTGTTGGCGTCTCTGCATTTGCTAAGAAGAGGTGATATTTCAAGATGTCAAAAAATTTATTGGGGTGACAGCCAAGGGGACAACAGATATCAACTCTCAATTACCAAGGGGATTTTTGTGAATTTCAGAAACTTCAGAACGTGTTTTGGATTTAACCCAAAACGCAGAGGGTGACTGAACATTCTTCAGCTGTGACATATAACTTGACAAGAAGCCCCCCCTTTTGGAAAGAATTTATTAACGGTCTAATTTATAAATAGAAAGAAATGAGTGGTGGATAAGTGAGGCTAGACGTGGATCTATGGAATGTATGGTTGGAAATGAAGTTTGGCCATTTATAAATGATTTATAACTTTTGCCAAACAGAGGCTTAGGTGTGAACTGCAAGAACCTGCTCCTTTTCAAGTATATCCAGCATTTAAATTAAGTCGCATATAAAGATGAACACGAGAAATTGAAGTTACAGTTGAGCTTACTGTGTAGATGTTCAAACAACGTCCCATTTGGAGCATATTCAAATACCATCATTCTTGTAAAAGGCTCCACTTCTTCACAATATCCAATAAGGTTAACAAAGTTTCTGTGATTCAGTTTTGACAGTGTGTCTATCTGAAGATAAAGAGAAACATCAAATAACAGTTACTGAAATTAATGCAAGAGAGAGTTCAAATAAATTTTTGTTTTGACATGCCTTATTTCTGAACTGGGTTTCTAAATTCTTCGACCAGTCCTTAGCTGACATCACAGTAGTAGATGTCACTGCGATCTCAACAGCACTTGAAAGGGTCCCTTTGTAAACAGTGCCATTGGACAGTGACCCAATTATATTGCTGAAATCTTCGCAAGCTGTCTCAAGTTCTGATCGGTGTAGCTTTGGCACACCTGGCACAACAACTCCCATGTAATTTCCCATAAGTAATGTCAAAGCAGTATATCAAAGTAACAACGAACAGAAGTTGATAACATGAACATGCCATCAAGCATTCCTCCTCCCAAGATAGCTATATGCCACCGAAACAAAATTATGAAAAAGAACAATGACACTCTGGAGGATGAAGGTGCCTTATAAAGATAAATAAAGCAGGAATGTTTTTCCAAAATTTTCAGGTTTAAAGGATAATTCCTAGTCAGGGTCACTGATCAGTGGGTCTGAACCAATTGATATCCTTACAGACACATTTTAAAGCGATAAATGATCTATGCAATTATTTAAGGTAAACCTGTTGTTTGTAACTTAACGAGAATGAAGAGTTGTAACCTGCTACAAACGCTTTCTGCAGCTGCCCACTTAACCCTGTTACCCAAGGTTTAACAGCAACAACCTTAATTCTGCGGAAATAAAAGAAACCAAGGACTAATACAAATATGAATAAAGAACTTCCAATTATTCCGGGCAATATAATTATCAGATGACGCTTTTGTTTAGATGTATTCTTGACAGTTAGCCTAGGAGCTGAAGCATGGGTAGACAGAGGAGCAGGAGACACCCTCTGTGGTCCGACTTTGATAGGTGGATATATGGGAGGTGCCGCAGATGCCCTTGGTGAAAGCTCTGTTGACACTGAGGGAATCAGAAACTCTGATGGCGAAGGAGACTCAGAGACTGAAGAAGGTGATATAAATGTTGATGGGGGAACTGATATAAAGGATGGCGGAGTTGTAGGAAACAAGACTGCAGGTGACGGCGACGGAAATGATGACACAGGGGATGAAGATGGTGAAGACGATATAGAACCCTCCTTATTAAGCCAATCATTCTCAGCTTTCATCGGATTTTGAGAAGTGGTCACTTGCAGCAGCTTCCGCTGACCTAAGAGTCCAGATTGCAAGGTTTTCCTGATGAAAACAGAAACTGTCAAGAGCAGACAAGCTAAAATTATAATTAGCTAAAAGTGCTCTATATTGAACATTTGTCATTTGGGTGCAGGTCATTCATAGCAGTAAGAAATTATTTTTTCTTTATTCCCATCATAAAAGCACAAGATGTGACATTCTGCCTAGTCCTCTGTTCGTTATGACAGAAGCTTATTCAGCATGTCTAAAATTGTTTTTCTTCCTGAGAATCTTATACAGATGAAATTTTGGACATAATTTGCCACAGAAAAAACAGTGCACATACTATATAAATAGGTATAATTAAGTGGTTTCATGTTTTAAACTTTCACATTCCAAAATCATCTCTATTAGAAGTGGAAAATAGGATACATTTTATAGATGTGGAATATTTCATTTACACAGAGGCTAGTGCTTTGGATAATCAATGGTTCCGTAAATCTGGATCCAAATTTAATGAACACTCCTAAATAAAATAAAATTAGAATCCAACCAGCAGTTATTGAAAAGTCCAACTTTCATGGATCAAATGCATAATAGAGGTAGTTTTTTTGTTTCTCGACGAAGGTGCTTTAGGGCCGTCAACAAAACTAACTTGTCATGAATGGAAAGAAATTGGATAAACCTTGAATTTCCTTTTTCTTTGGATTTCATTTACTAAGAGAACCACAACACTTGTAACAGTGTACAATATTGCCCAGGGTAGAAATTAAAATCATAACAGCAATCTAGAACTTTCGTGAACAGCAGTTAATGAATTTACAACAAGGTCAACTGACTATAATACTTGTTTCTATTATAATACGAATTTCTATAGTATAACTGTTTCTATACACTTACTGCTTCAATAAGTTTATCATGGATCGTGTAAGCAAGCTCTACTACAAGATACTCAGTGTATATCACCTCAATGAACACATGTACGCCTCACTTTTCCCACCAAAATGAAAATTTTAAAGAAAATAGTCAAACTAGAAAGCAAAGAAAATGTCGGAAGATAATAGAGGATTATTATTCCTTATGTTAAAACCTTCAGTGTGCAAGATTATGGACACTTACTGAACATTTGATTGCCCACGACGACTTGTCCTTAAAGCATTAGTAGTTGGATGATTTTCAGGAGGTATGCTATTTAAATACTTGTTATTATCTAGTAAGCTACAACATAAATAAAAGATTCTGTTAGCACAAGCTCATGAGTATCATAGATACAGTGGACAAACATGTTTTTGTTTTTGCTAATGCCAAAAAGAGAGAGAAGGAAAATTTTACTCAAAGGACTGACATGAACAACTTTTTGTGAAAATTTGAGGGAATTGGACCGCTAAAGTTATTGTTTCCCAAGTCTAAGACTTCCAGCTCCTCCAGTTCTCCAATTTCTTCAGGAATAGTTCCCCAAAAAGCATTATTCCGTAAGATTCTGCAGCAATGGACAGCACTTGGTTTGATATATACTGTTACTTAAGATGTAGCAAGAAAAATATCATAAGGCAAATTGAAATAATAAATGGCATGAAGATACACTCACATGGACTTCAAATGAGTAAGCCGTCTCAGTTCAGGTTCCAATTTTCCTTCGAGACAAAGATCCCTCAAATTCCTACGAAAGTATAGGCATGACAATCAAACTCACAAAGCATAATGATCATCCAATTTCATTACTTTAATGAAGCATTTTCTGATGCTAACATTTTCAAGGAGATAGATCAGGATTCGTACATAGTCCATCTTAAGTATAACTAGAGTCCAATAGCAGATGTAACTGAGCCAAAACAGATCCATATTGTGTCACCAATGCAGCTAATCAAGAATGTAAAATAACCACCAAAGTAGAACCTCATAACATCAAATTGCGAATGAGAAGCAGCAAATTATATCACTTTAACTCCCCAACAACATCAAATCATGTCATGTTTAGTCCATACATTAAATTTTGTACATTAAGATTTCCGAAATCGCATAGTCAAATTGCCATGCCTCCTATGCTTAAAAGCAATAATATCCAATCATCACAGAAAAATCACTTTTTCCTCGTCACATTCATTCAAAAAATACACTTGCACACACAGAGATGCACAAAATATCCATGCAGTCGAGAATAATGGAATCAAATAATAGGAGAATTTACTAACAAAGTGACAACTTTGCCTTTGGAGCATTTGACGCCGAACCATGAGCATGAATTTGAACCTCCAACACTGAAATCCCAACTCAACAGAGCATTAAATGGATCTTTACTCACTCTTTCTTTAAACTTCAACAACGCTATACCTGCACACCCAACTCACATTTCTTTACAAAAACCAAATAAAAACATAAAAAGAAATTTTTCCAAAATAGTACTAAAAACTGAAGAAACTGAACCTTCAGTATTGAGAGCCCAACAGAAACTTGAATTGTAACAGAACACAGCATTTGACAACATGAAGATCACCACCATCCGTTTCCATCTCAATTGCTGATCCATTTCAACATTCAAAAACTTCCACTAAATGGGATTTTGATTTAAGCAGGGAACATCTACTATTCCGTCGACAGAGAGAGGCGATGACCCAAAAAAACAATTTACTACTTCATATGCTCCACGGGAAAACAAGAAATTGCTCTAAAAAAAACGGTGACTTTAGTAGAATTTTTAAATTTGTTCTGCGAATATTCAGAGTTAAAGTAACAGAAAGAAGAATTTTACGTGAAGAGATGCGTGTGAAATTGAAAAATGCCGATGAAATGCAGCAGTCGGACCAGACTGGGACCTCGACTTGGATATCTTCTTTCCTTTGGCTTCTCTTTCTGCCTGTCATGTATGATATATATAGACTCCGTCTCCCCCGGGCATAGTAGTGTAAAGGAAATGTGCGAGGTTATCCCACACTTTGTTGGTAGTCGTAATTTGGGGGTTCGATTTCTGAGACATGAAATTGAATTTATTATATGCACAGTACACAAACAGCTCTTGTTTCCTGGTTTATTGGGACACCGCAATTTACCTCGTGAGCTCTAGAACGGGACGGTAGAGGCTCTCAAGATTGTGGTTCAACCTTTATATAGACGCTGTCTTGCAATTCTCACGTGCTAATTAATATAGTAAAATTTCATTTAATTTTTCTATTTATTTCGCCAAGGTATGAAAAATTTTATTTTTTCTAGACATGTCTGTTATCGATACTTAGTTCACTGCATTAAATAAAAATTTCAATTTATGGCTGATCGTCTTGATCAATTATGCTTAAGGAGTAGGTAAACGAACAAAGTATGGAATTTTAAAAAACATTTAGTACGTGAACTACGTCTTTCTACTTTACAAAGAATTGGGATTGATCGATCGATTTTCAGAAATTACCATCAATATATGTATAGTTATGAGTAGAAGTACAATGCAAGGTGACTTTTTGTTTGGGGCCAGCTAAATTTTTAGTTTTGAACCAATTGGTGTTGTTGGGATGTTCATTTCTGAGGTCCATGGAGTTGTCATTTCATTTTCCAATTTTCTTGTAAAACAAGTAGATGTATCTAACTTGTGACTAAATTTAGCTGCCATTTCTATTTCATAGCAAATCAAGTGGCAATGGAATTGGGCCACTTAACGGATACCACTGATTGTGACTTTTTTGAGACATAACCATTAGGCTTGCTAACGAAGTATAAGCAAATTACGAATAGAGGATGAGAATTAATCCTTTTAAACAATCTATCTTATGTGACTAATGGAAACACGAACATTATAAAAACATTGACATAGAGTCTTACCAATTTATCAATGTTATTTAAGAGGAATAAGACCGTTCTGTTCAGTCTAGAAATTTAAGAATCAACCTCAAAAGTCAAATATGGCATGTTCATAATATAGAGAAACTGATCTAAAGAACCATTGGACTGGTTGATTTACTCTTGAATAAAAAAGTTGGTCACCATTCTACCAGTTAATCAATTTTTTATTTTATTTTTTTATAAAAAAGAAATCCAATGATTTTAATGGGACATGTGTATTGCATTTGCAGGCTCAATTGAATTTTCTTTAAAGTGCGCTTCTTTTTTAAGCTACTCTACCTCCAACGACATATTAATCCTCAATTGAATTTTCTTTAAAGTGCGCTTCTTTTTTAAGCTACTCTACCTCCAACGACATATAAATCCTCTAATATATGGAAATAAAAAAAAAATTACAGTGGTTTTAAAAATAAATAAATAACTTGTGAAATGACCTCAAAAATTAGGTTACCACCCAATAACAAGTCAAAGTCACAATAACACACAATTATAATCATAATCACAAATCATATAAGGTCAGAGTCACAAATTATCGGTGACGATTACAAATTTTTTCACAATCACATTTTTTAGACCACATATTACATATTAATCACAAATTATTAATTTTATCAATCACACATTATTTATTGTTCACAAATTATTCATATTATTAATCTCCATCACCCAAATAATTGATCATAAAAGTTATTCATTCCACCCGACTCCACTCCACCACGATCGACACTACCCAAACTTCGCGCCATCTCACCATCATCAACAACCACTATCACTGCCAACAACCACCATTTGCAAACCACTAACAACCACCAACAAAAATCACCTCAAAACTATGGCTAAGTAGCGATGCAATAGCCAGATTGAATTAGAGGCAGATCAGAGGAAGAGAAGCACTGCTAAGTAGCAGCGAGCAGCGGCTAGGCAGGTCGGAGCTTCGGTGCGCACGGCATTGCGTTTCACGAGCGACGGCACGCTGTAGTGCTGGAGAAGTGGTTTGGCAACCGGAGAATCAGGAAGGTGCTGGAGAAGTCTCTGTGACTTTTTGTTTGGGTAGAAAAAAATTAGGGTTAATGAGTGGGGGGTGGGGTGGGTTGGTTGGATGGATTTTTTGAAGGAATAAAGTTAAAATCTGATTTTTGAAATAATAAGTTAAAAACTAGGACTATATGTAATTTCCTCAAAAATGTATCCAGTTGAGAATTTTAAATCTTTACAATTTCTATATGAGCAAAGCATATTATTTGGACATATTAATTATTAGTTTTTGAAGTTTTGAAATAAATAATTGGATGATAAATCTAATAAAAAAAAAGAATTTTTATTTATCTTGAATTAGTAATAATAATATTAAATAATCTATTATTGTTATATTGTTTTAAAGTTTGTTTGTATATTTAAATATTTAATTTTGACATTGATTTAATTCTGACCGAGTCTTTTGATCCTCGATCATTTATCTTTTTCGGGTCGATGTTCAATTCGATTTTCAAAATATTGCAATTTATTATAAAACAAGTGAAATTGAAACGTACAAAAAATTTAGTAGAAACCAAATTTGACACTCCATTTTTTGTTCTACAATTAATGTATTTTTTAATATCTTTTGACAAGGTTCATATACAAAATTTAGATCTAGCATCCATGGGTACCGTTACCTATTTAATTGATATGAGTACCATAGAAGTGGTACAATTTTCTCTTCAAAACAGGTAGGTTTACCATAAAAATTTTTATTTTTGAATCATTGCGAAAAGTATATTGTGTTGTGCTGTAAAATGATTTTATAATGAAATAATACAACGATCATGAAAGTTTTAAGGCAATCTCAGACAGTGATAGACCTGCATATTACTTCATTTCAAGACAAAATACATTTATTTCACGATACTTTCGAGTATATGGAGCATCACACAACTAGACGACAATGACAAACTTTATACAAAATAACTGTATTTATATACATAATTCACTTTTTTCACAGCACTTTTGATTATAAGTTAGTTTACAAAATGATCACGCAACTGGACAACTTAGTTTAGAAAAACAATGGGAGGAATCATGCAGACTTGCCCTATCAACGTTAAGGGGTATGACAAAAAGCCTTCAAAGCCTCTCTACCACTCCTATTTACCTAAACATAGTATCAATTATTTATTTATTTATTTTGACATACACATGTATTCACCGTTAAGTAACATTTATCTTTTAACCGAAGAAAGTTGCTTGGCAAGGTTCACATGGGCCCTACCCATGGTGGGGGATCTGTGAATGGGCCCCGATCATCAAGGGGCACCATTTGGCGGGGGTCTATGGCTCATGTGAATTTAGCCATATAGCAGCCTTCTTTTTAACATACAATTCTAAATCATAAGAATGATACAACAACATATAATGATGACGTATTTCACCTATATCCAATGAAACTTTCGATGTCGCACATCATTACCTAGTTGTCTTCTTTATATTGGATGAACTCGTGCATCAACTTGAAAATTATAGTTGGCCTTAAAAATGGTTGTATTACTCTGGCTTGGTTGACTCGCCCTTTTTACATGGTCAAGACCCAATACTAATCAATTGGCTTCTTTGATAGAGTCAAAGAGGTGGGTTGACATCTTTCTATATGAACTGGCCTAATGAGACATTGAAAATTGCAACTCCCATGGCGGAGTCAATTCTCTATCAATCTTAAGTCGCACCGATGCCAGCATTGAAATATTATCTAAAGTTTCAAGTTGCAAGCATAGAATAAAGCCAATACATATTACAGTGTCTTACTTGTGTAGTTCTAGATAAACAGCCAAAACAATATGCAGTATCAAGACATTGCTCATTTCCTATAGCTAACTCACTGCCTTACAATATACATTCATGGGTGATTTTAAAAGCAAAATATTGAACAGGAATATATAAATTAATATTTGAAATTAAGTGATTATTATGTTATTCCGATAAAATAAACCTGTCCGATAGAGTAATTATTCAATAGAATGAACGCGTCTTCTTAATTCAATGCACGTTCTAAAATTTTTTCTTATAAATAAGTTATTTAGAAGTAATTTTTATACAAGTATATCTTTGATCACTTTTCATAAAAAGTCGATTTTAAGTAAATTTAAAACTCAACCAAACATCCATACAAAATATTTTCCAAGGAAAATAGAAGCATTGGTCCCCAAACTATCTACTTTATCGCAGCGTCAACATCAAATGTACTTTCGTAAGACTAAGGGCAATGTGATAAGGTCAGAAGCATTTTGAACATCGGATGAATTTTGACATCAACAATCAATATTTACCAATATCTGTCAAGGTTTACCTACAGAAAATGTCCAGTGTCTTAATTTATATCCTAAGCAAACTGAGACTCCCAGAAAATGCCCAAATAATGTTTTATCGATTACACTGTTAAAGGCAGAATTGCTTAGTTCAACATCTACTATGAATTCCCAGCAAAAAAGGAAAAGGAAAAGGAAAAGTTCCCACAGTTACTCTGATCACTCAGAAAGAAAAAAATGCTCTTTTTTAAAGTTATAGATAACAGAATTATTCTTCTATGCATTTCATTAAGATGACAACAATGCAAAATAATTTGGCACATCTATATCCAGTAAACATCTATTTCTAAAAGAAGTTACGTATGCAGAGCAGTAAACCCGAGGATAAAGGGAAAAACCAAATCCATGGAGAAAGAATTAACCACCGGCGAGTGAAGTCTAGCTCTGTAAAAAGATAGGTTTTAGCGGGTGAAGCGAGCATTGTGTGCATAAGTTAAACTTTATTAGCTATTTGAGCTATTAATGCCACTGTCACTTACAATTGTATCTTTATATCCAGAAAGTACTTAACAGAAATAGAAAATGATTCAAGCCATCAACCCAAAATTTATTGGGCAATAAAACAATGATCCCAATCAAAGAACAAACAAAATTCCATCATCTTGTGCCAAAATTTTAATCGAAAGACTAGAAAAGTGGAAAATGACTAAAGTGAGGAAATCAATCAGTTTTTCATCAAAGTTTCATCTTTTCAATGACATATATCTTGGAGAATAATTCGTTTATTTGAACCAAGCTATTGAGGGCTCGTTCTAACCATAATAACAAAGCATTTTTACGATTCCCCATTCCTCTAACCTGTAACGACACGAATCTAAGCATAAGCCTTTAACTCATACATACTGTCGGTAAAGCATGCACAATTAGTACCAGTATTCAACTTAAGTATGTCATAAGGTAGAAGACTTAGAGATCGAATATTAGGGGATGTAGTAGAAAGTCGCCAGGGGTAAAATGGGTAATACCGTAATAGCAATCCAACACGTTAAAGCACCACTAAATTGCAAAACAACGTTAACAAATGAACAAACTATAGCAATCCAAACGGATTCATTTGGACCTAATTTTCCTTGCCTCTATTTCTAGCAAGTAAAATCAGCAAGAAGATATGAAAAGCTACCACACATCTCCATGAAAACTAAACATAAGTGCTTAAAGATTAAGCATTTTGTTCCAATCAATGTTACATATTTTAAAGCCTAACTAATAATTAGACTCTGATGTGATTTAATCAAATGATTCAGAAAGAGGCGCATGAACAAGATGGGCACCTGGTGAGACCATTCTCATTGCAGGAAGTACAACTCTTAAAGCCACATTTCTCGCTGTAATACTTATGGCTTCCATTGCACTCTTGGCAGAGGATGAATCTGTACCCACCACATGCCTCGCACCCACGAGCGTCCGCTGGGAGAAGACCCTGCAGGTATTTCTTGAGCTCGCCGCTCTCGTGGAGCTGCCTCACCTCCTCAGCACCACCAATGTACCTGCCGCCGATGAAGACTCGGGGGAGTGTTAGTTTGGATTTCTCAGGTTCACCAAAGATCTTCTGCAGCTCCTTAATGTAACCCGAGTCCATAGAAACATCCCTTTCGTCAACAAGCACATTGAAGGAACGCAGGATAGTTAGGACGGTCTTGCAGTCCTCAAATGTGTGGCGAAGAATCCGCAGACTCGTAAAGTAAACCATTATAATATTCTCGGCCCTTGGGATCCTAATCACCGGCTCCGATTTCACATCAGCGGCCACATTTTCCGGCAATGGAGCCGGAACCTGACCCTCATCCCCGTAAGGTTTGGACTCCGAATGGTCGGGCAGTAAAGATAGGGTCCGTAGAAGGAAATTGGAGCTGCGAACCCGATGGCAAATGGAGGGCTTCCTGATGTATGGAGTAGGTGAATCAAGGGCAATGTCACCGTCACCGGCGCTGATTTTATTGTATCTATAACCGCTATCTTCTTCAGAGAGTAGAATCTGTATATCTTTCAAGGAAGAGCAAGCAAATTTGGGGGACGACGCGTTGTGGAGTCGAATCCTTGATTTGCTTCGTCTAAGCCACATGGGTTCTGAGATTCAATCAATTTACAAGACGCCAAATCACAAAAAATTACAGAATAATCGAAAAGGTTGTGTGTGAATCTTGAACTTGTTTAAGAAAACTGGTGGCTTTGGAGGTAATGAGGAAGAAGCTGGAAAGGCAGAAAGGGTTTGGCGTTGGCCCGTTTGAGTTTGGCGGTTGGGCGTGGGGTGTTGCTTAAGGTTCGGCTTTTTTTTTTTTTTCACCTTTTTTTAAAAATTTTATATTTCTTTTTGGGAGGGGTTGAAGAAAAGAGAAATGAATGGAATTGAATAGATTTTGGTTGGCAGAGAGAGAAAAGTTTTGGGAAAAAAATATTCTTTTATGGACAGTCAATATTTGTTCAAAAATGTGTGTATTGTATCAAAATAAAGTAATATTGTTTCATATAAAAAACCTAGAAATGGTATTGGAACGCACAATCTGCCCTACGATGAATTGCAATTAATTAGTAGAGAAACAGATGATTAAATAACTTTTACCTCTTAACTTTCTTAATAATGAATTATGTGAAATTAGTGCGGTCAAATTTGGTCATATAAATTTAAGATAACTCTGGGATGTTTGGTACCAACTTGCAGTATCTAAATTTAGGGTGTATTTGATACACCAAATTTTTTCATAGAAAATGTAAATATAATTTTATTTTCCAACTTTATGATATTTAATAGGGTTTTATTTCCATGAAATTGTATTTTCTCCCTTGTCTCGGGAATTGATCTTTTCTTGATTTTTAAGGAAAATCAATTCTCACCATTTTGGTGAGAATTGGAATTCCATGTTAATGTAGTATTTTGTTTTGTTTTGTTTTTTTTTTTTTGTTCTTTTTTTTTTTTGGTTTTTTGGTTTTTTTTTTTTTTTTGTGTGTTGGTAATGAAAACAAATCTTAAAATTTATTGAAAAAAAAAAATATTTCCTTTTAATTGACAATTTTTATGTAAAACAAAGTCAAGCGAACACCCAAAGATAGATGATTTTCTTAAATTTTTTTTTTTTTTGTTTTGGCAATGGAAACAAATTTCATTTTCAATACTAATAAATTCTATCCCTTTAATTAACAACTTTCATGTAAAACAAAGCCAAACGGATATCAAAAAATACTTTAATTTAAACATTTTTCACGTGAAAAATTATACTAATCAAACACAATAATTTACAATTCTCAAGAAAATAATTTCTCGTCAATTCAATTCCCTAAAATTCGTTTTCTTTCAACTCAAATTCCACCTTTGCAATCAAACGGACCCTTAATATAACTCTTAGGGTCTGTTTGATTGCGAAGATAGAATTTGGGTGGAAAGAAAATGAATTTCAGAGAATTAAATTACCTAGAAATTTTTTTCTTGGAATTTGTAAATTATTGTATTTGATTGATATATTTTTTTACGTGAAAAATGTTGAAGTAAAAGTGTTTTTGGTGTTCGTTTGATTTTGTTTTACATAAAAATTGTCAATTTAAGGAATATTCACTTCTACCATTATTCCTAGAATTTGCTTCCATTGCCAAAAAAAAAGGAATAAAAACGATCAAAAAAATCATTTATATTTAGGTGTTCGTTTGACTTTGTTTTACATGAAAATTGTCAATTTCAGGGATATCCTCTTTTACAACTATTTCTAGAATTTGTTCCCATTGCCAACAATTAAAAAAAAAACAAAAAGCAAAAAAAAAAAAGTGGAAAATCAAAAACCACCTACCCCTAAGAAAATAAAAGGTGGAAAATCACACTTTAAGGTGTTGTACCTAGAAATTCATGGAAAATCAATTCCTTGAAAAATTTTGTCAATCAAACAGGCCAAAAGTGGAAGTTGGAATTCGAATTTCAAGTTCCATGGAAAATTTCGTGCAATCAAACGGGTCCTTAGATGTTTAATTGGATCTATTTTTTTGTATTTTTTGCCATGAAAAAATGTAAAATCGCCAAGCGTATATCTGTAAAACAATGCACGATCTAAAATTTTTCGTCCGCAAATAAAAATTTTGGAATTTTTGTTTTTTTTTTTTTTTTTTTTTAACGTTACACGTAAATAGTGGAGGCGAAAATGGTATTAAAAATAGCGAGGTCTTATGTCAGAAAACATGTCATTTTTGTGGGCATTAGGACGAGGGAATGTGGAATTTGTTGTGAACAACTCTAATTAAACAATTATTCTGGAAAAAGCTGAAATCCAGAGAAGAGACCAACATCGAATTGGGAGACAAGTGCACAAGTTTTTGCCGTTAAATAATAGAGGTTGAAGAATCAATCAAAGCGGGTGGTGGATTCTGAAAAGCTTCATTTGTTACTGACCCAGTTTCACGTGTCCCAGAATACCCACAACCATCGCGTCCTTGGCACTGGCACATGTTGTTTGGCAGAAGAATTTCTATTTTTACTTCTATGTTTTGTACAATAATTTACTAAATAAAGTACCTTAGGTCTACTTTTAGAAGTTTTTTCAATCAACGAACACTGAAAATTTTTTATTTTTTTTTTATTCAAATGTGTTCAATAACAACTTCTTAACTTCAACAGTTTTACCAAACGGGCCCTAATTATTATTGATGACTTGTGAAGATCTTGCAACTAATAGGAGAAACTATTAATAGCCTTTAAAGACCTACATGAAAATAGATTGTAACCGTTCAACGCAATTCTCCACCGACAATGAAAAATTACCTCATAATCAAAGGGATTTTATTTCCTAGTTTATGAGCGGTAATATATACACCTTTGTTTTTCTCCTAATTAAAATTATTGGAGTTTTGTCTCTTATATACATGACCCACGATCGGGGTCATACTTGTGTTTCACGGGACCTGAGGCGAATTTCAAAATTTAGGCTTCTAAATTATAGCAAACAATAATTTTTATTTTTATTTTCGTTTATAAGAGTTTTATTGAATTAAATTTGTTGAGTTAAAATCAACAATAAAACCCCAAATAAAATAAAATAAAATATTCAAAAATATTTATATCATAATGGTTAAAATGATCGCTTAAATACATCTCGTCTTGCGATTTTAAATACAAAAACATCAATTAATTTTGAATAGTCGAGTTGTTTAATCATAAGGCAAATTTATAAAAATGATAACATAGGTTAATACATAATAATTAATTAACTAATGGTGTTGACCTTGCAAAATGGACCTTTTACGTGGCCAACAAAGTATCACTCCACGTGTGTTCTTCCCTGCACAAGACACAAACGGTCAAAAGTACATGACCAATCCCAGTAAAGATGATAACAGCCACATACACTCCAACGATCAAGTTAATTGATGATAGACTGTCGTATCTTGGTGGTGACAACTCCGGTAGGCGTGGGCGTGGGTCGATTCGGTTCGGTTCTCTTTAGAACCGAACCAAACCAAACTTTTCGAGTATCTAGTAAATAGAACCGTCGGGTCCAAATATAATTATGGGACCGTTCGAGTTCGGTTCGATTTTGTACTATAATTAAAATTTTTAACATTTATAACAACATTATATAAATACAACTAATGATACATTCAATGGTTTTTGAATGTCAGAGACTAGTAAACTACCTTATTCAAATGATCGTTACGATCAAAGTTTCGGTCGGTGGAGGTCACGGCTTCGATCGGAGATCACAGTGTCGGCCGATGATTGTATTGGTTTTAGAATATTAGCGAGGCTGCAAGAGTGGGTGCGAGAGTCGAAACAACGTTATGCACTTTAGTGTAGGTATTTAGAGTTATTTAGTGAATTTAATTTTGTTTGGCTAAGAAATGAAACAATAAAATAGGTAATTGGGTCAAAGATTAAAAAATTAGAAATGAAACAAATTATTGGGCCAAAAATTTGGATTTAGAAATCGTTAATTTGTTAAGAAAAAATTAAAATAAAAATAATTTGATTTACTCAATATAAAAAAAAATTAAAAAGATTCAGTTCTTATTCGGTTTTTCAGTTCTTGGTCTAGAACCGAGAATCGAACCGTACCCGTCTGTTCTCAATTCAGATACCCGTTCGGGTATTTAATTTGACAAGAACCGTCGGGTTCGGTTCGGGAGATTTGCCCGGCCCTAATTGCCGAGCTTTTTATATAAGATGGAGGAGAATATATGAACTTAAGTTATAAAGTAACGTTACCTTTTCAAAAGGTCGGGCTCTTTGGTATTAATAGAGAGAACATCGAAAGGAGCATCGTTAGATATGAGACACGTTGACTCATCTGACGGTGATACGAGTTAATATTTGACTAGGTTGAGAACCATATAAAGATATTATGTAAAATAGAGTTAATATTTCATTTATATGTAATACTATCAACAATTTTACCTTTGGGGCTACATGCTGAATGAGAGCCCACTCGGGTCCTTTGGGCATCAGTATGAGTTAAAAAAGCAATCATACTACGTATACATAAATAGTTTATATAATCATTGATATAAACTCAGGTGACAATTTATTATTGAATTGTTTAAAATAAGGCTAATTTTTTTTTAACCAATCACATATTGACAACTCCTATTATGTCACATACTTTCAGGCAAAGTAGTATCATTCTGAAAAAGAAAAAAAAAATCGTGGATTTCAAATCGTAAGTTTGAGTTCAAGTGGGTTAGGTTTCGATCATTTTAAAATCAAACCAAATTATCCGAAAAATTTTAGTTTATGTTTCAATTGTTAAAAAATAGGTAAAAACCAAACTAAGTTCACCCAATTTTTTCTTAAAAAAAAATATATTTTACCAAAATATGTCATTTATTAGTTCAATCTATACTTCGAAAAATTTTGTTTACAATTTTTTTTTTTTTTTTTTAAGAAAATGAAGATTTATAATAAATTTCCTATCTATTTCAAAAATGAAATTGCAAGCTTAAATTTATTGTTGAACTTTATATCAATTTATTGGTTTAAGCTTGTATCGATCCACTTATATTTGCATCATAACATATAAGTTCAGAAGGTTTCGGTTCAACCGTTATTTTGAGATTTCACACCAATATATTATTGTTTTAATTTGTTTGAAAGATGTTAATTTTATGTTGCTAAAATCGTAATTTTAAACCAAATCAAATTGCAAAAAAATGATTTGATTTGATTACAAAAACGAAATTATTTTTATTTGGTTTGAAAAGAGGTCAAAATTGTCCAAATCGAGACCTATTCACCCTAACCATCATCAATTCTACACTATCGAAGTTTGGGCCATCGGACACTCGAAAAACTATGGTAGATGGGCCGGTGTGTCCAACAAGAC